AGAAAAACTCAACGCTTCACCTATTCTCACAGTTTTGTAACATCGACTGTCACATCTCTGTTTAGCTTTTCTGCAACCACATCGATTATAGTACATGCACCATGCACCATACACCTTTACAAGCACCCTACCACTACTCGATGCAACAGTGCTCTGGGCTCTATCTAGCTGCCTCTCTTAATGTTATTCGCTGCTGAGAGGTATATCGTTTAATTCAGGAAACTCGGCCATTTCCACTAAATTCAAAGAATGATATAAATAGATTGCTAAGATAATTCACTGACAACAACGATAATATTACGATTAGAGATATAAATAGCTTTCACTGATAACAACAATAATATTACGATTAAGACATAAATAGCTTATCCACTGACAACAGGAGTTGGCCCTTAGGTGTAATATCAAATAAGGGTAGGAACCTATACGACGGCTTTCGTATCCCAGTGCTATGCTACATATGAATAAGTAAATTTCCTTTACGATAATAATAATCACAAGGTTTCTATTACAGTTGTCTTATATTGCAAGCAGTGACGGCTGTCAGTAAATTGTTAATTGAAATAAGCAAAAAAATTTTACGGGGGATTGTCAATTTTGGGTTTCTTTGACGTGATTTATATACAATCTACTTTCTGGCCTAAGGTCCTACGCCAACTCTCTTTCCACACTACAACCACTGACAGTTTACAAAATTATTAATCAAGCCATCACTACTGATTACTATTATTCGACAACATAATTATGTTATTGTGTACATTGTCCAGGAAATATACAACGAAAGAAACGTCTAAAGGGAATCGCTATCTCTAGAATTGACACCAAAGACGGATACCAAATATACAAGTTTACTCAGATAATGACTTGATTGATTTCGACAAATTCCTACAAAGTTACTCAACGACTACAACATGGGGAGTTTACACTACTTAGTATTAGAGATAATTCATTTAATCTCGTGATTATAATTAGTATACGGTTACACATAGACGAAGAACATGCACCTATCTCAAAACCCCAACGTACGTTTACTACTATATAACTTACCATACAAGTAAAACCTTACTTATCCAAAGACCAGTTTCAACCTACGCGATAATCCAACTAATGATCGCTTAAAGAATGGCATCACAAAATCGAGAAAAAATTCATGGTGCATGCGAGACTGGAATTTTATTCTTGTAAGTTTGATTACAAACATGTCAGCTTAATTTATCGTAAAGGTTGGTTTTTTTATCCTTTTCTTAATACGTTTAACTGATTGGACACATATAGTGCAAAACTACAACCTGCAGGTAGCAGTTAAATTATTTTTCACTTGTATTGACAGTTGAGTGAATATGGAAAGAGAAAGTGGAAAAAGATATACCAATGTTATGCCTCAGTTGTATAATAATCTCCTTTTTTTTTTTAGCTCAAGAAAATCTCGTCATTGTTTTTAGAAATTGTCCTCCGTGAAATAGACGACAATAGCGAAATGCCTATCCAGGTCGAAAAATTCAATTGCAGATCGCAAATTTAAAGTACTATTTATACAGCGATTTTTCGACCTGTGTATGTCAGTTTGGAATGACATAAATTTTAAAACAATATACCAGCTAATGTTAAATATACAGTTCCCTCCCTCCGCAAGCATTATAGTCTCACTCTTCTTATAGTTACAGTTTCTCGGAATCAACTGATTTCAGTAGTAAATTCATCCCCTTATACACATGAAAAAGTATTTAAGTATGATGGTTTGCTTCATAAAATCTTTGTACTCAAGGTGAAATTGCAAGTAACTGAAGAGGATTTGTCTGATCTAGTCAAAGCTGATACTTGCTCCGCGATACTGACAAAGAGAATGAAGACTTAGTAAAACCGGTTATGGAAGTATTGACCCACCTGAAAGGCAATATTTTTCACTTCAGATATTCTCGTCGTAAGATATATGTTGTTGAATACTTTATGGATAAAGCCAGCGGGAAACATCGTTAAATTGCTATTTGAAGAAATAATCTCCTATTATATACTTATACGTGAATGTCGACCATTACTCGTTTTGAATTAGCGGAGTATCCCGCGAGTGTTCCAGTGGCATTACAATAATTATTCGCTTACGTTTGATACAATTATAAACTCATCGAGTTGCTTATTGTTGCTAGTCTATCCATTGGATAATTGTTTATGACCACAAATGCACAATACAGGACTACATCGGAGTAGCACGTGATCTATTAAGGATGGAGCAATACAGTAAAATAGATTTCATATAATCGAAGAATTGTGCATACAAATTTATTCATTCGTATTAAAATAACATGCTTATTGAAATCACGGTCTTTACAATTCGTTTACATTAGAAAGTATCTTTGAAGAGGGAAGGGTTGGGTAAAGTGAAACTCTTATCGATAGGATCTGATATATTCTCATTGGTCAATCTTGCAATTCCTTAATTAGGTCACCTGATATTAGTGAGAATACAGTCAACCCTCTTTATAGTCACCCCTCTATAAGCACACCATGTTTGAGAACCAATTACTATTGAACTTATCGGAAAAACCCTCTATATAGTCACAACCTCTTTAGAAGCACATTTTCAACAAAAGTTGCCGACAGCGTGACTATAGAGAGGGTCGACTGTATATCAGATCTCAGATCGGTTTGCTTATCAATCTTGGAATGTCAGAGATCGCAGGATCCTAATCATGCAGGAAATCCATTGGTCAATGGAACTATCAGAAGATTTTTCTGTAGAATGCATAAACACACTTTATTGTTACTGTATCGTTGTGAACAAACACCAGATGCCGATACTTGAAAACCTATGTGAATGCTCATATAAAGGTTTGGCGTCAGACAAGAGAAAAACTGCTTAGTACGCATGGGGGAAGGTGACATAATGGTATGGGGATGTTTCTCACGACCCGGACCGCTGGTGTCGTAGGTAAAATGGCTATATAGAACTTTTATGAGTAACTTGGAGCAAAATACATATATTTTTCACAAAGATAATGCTCCGATTCAATGGAAGGACGAAAATATGATGGTGTCAATCCCCTGGTCCGCACAGAGCCCAGATTTAAACCCAATTGGGATCGATTAGACAGAGGAATTTGTCAGCGAACTCCACCAAAAAACATACATGAACTAACTGTTGCGATGGAGGAAGAATGCCTCGTAGAATTAAAGCTGTAATTAAAAGTAAAGGAAACCCAACACAATATTAACTATTTTATTGAAAAATTCAACACTGTTTGATCGTAAAAATATAAAATTTATTAAAAGTTTGCTAGTAAGTTACCATTTTATCTTGACCTTTTTTTTTTTGCCGTCGATCATTAACGGAAAACTAAACCAAACTGTTACACTAAAAATGTACCCTTTCAGCTGATGATATTGTTTGTTTTAATGATTGAAGTTTGGGGAAGAAATGTTCAATCTTATTTGTAGATCAACTAGAAAAGTCTAGTGCGGTTTTATTAGTGGTTTCCTTACATGAAACTAGTATTACTAGCAATGGTCAACAAGGTACAGTCATACTTCCCATTTAGGGCAGCGCCCCTTCTAGGGGGCATGAACACATGGTGAGTACGTAATAGACAAATTATGGTTCTCCTGCAAGCTTAAAATGAGGTCAATTGCATCTTGTTTGTCATCACTCAAGAAAATGTCCAATAAGTTGGATTAGGATGTCATTTAAGTACATTTTGAGCTGCATGAAACTGTATTTCTCTACATGGCAGTCGTTTTCAAGACGCGCGAGAGATTTAAACGTACGTTTGTAAGTGCTCTTCACTTTAAGGATTGTTAGCTGCCTCATTATTAATATACGAGACTGTCTTGTGTCATAATCAGTATACAGCAAGCTTGGTAAAAGCCCATTTGCAACTCGCGATCGACGGATCTATACAATGTTTACGTTTAGTCATCACTAACATATGTATGGAAATTGATCGCTGTGGTGTACAAACGATATGTTGTTCTATCATATTAATACTGTAATATCGGTTCTCGTACCCCATTCACTGTTTTGATCCACTGGCTCATCCATACATAATTGCGTTGGCTCAAGTTGTGCGATTCATGTTAAAATTATATTCATTACTAAAAAGTTTGGCAATGTGCATTTTCGCTTATTATCAATGCTCTTTTTCCGATTGACGTTGTAAGGACATTGTGTAATGATTAACATAGTTATTGGATGTTTTAATTATTATCTCACAAAATTGTGGTTGATTACGTAGATCATCATCTAACGGTGTAAATTTGTGACTTATAATATAATATGGGCTTATGAGGTTCTTACCGCTGACTTTCTGTTATTTGCTACGATATACACAGTCAACCCCGTTAATCCGAACCCCGTTTAACCGAAGGACTAAGTAAACCCTAAACCCTCTATATTAAATTTACCCCGATAAACCGAATTTATTCTAATTGAACCGCATTTACCCCCTATGTTCCCGACCCACTTCGGTTTAACGGGGTTCACTATGTAATAAATCGCTGCGTTTATCTATCTGCTATATGATTATGTGCTGTGCTATATATGCGTTTATCTGATATGTTTTGATTTGTAACAAAAAAATTAGCCCCTGATGTTATACAAGAATCGTGACTGTATAAAGGGAATATATATATATATATATATGTACTAGTAACGGCCAAAATCGGGTGACTGTGACTATCACTATGAATGTGGCTCTATAGGAGGAAAGTCACTATAAAAAAACCGGGACCGAACAAAGCAAATGTGACTGTATAGGAGGTGACTGTAGGGGACTCCTGTTTATGTCCCATGATACTAATACTGGATGGGCGTTGTATCATCGTGACACGATGTTTGTTACACGTGTTCGATTACATATAAAGTATAAAAGTAACGGTAAGTCTAATATGCCCCATGCAGGTGTCAATAATCAACCGAATCATACAGGTATGAATAATAATGAGTCATTACATAAAACGTCTTCTAATTGACACTTTCAAATCTATTATATAATAACGTCTCCATCCAGATGCCCGACCACTGGTTAAATACGTTAGCACCAGAGCTTAAAGTAGAAATTATTCTTCATTTGAGCAAACCTACAACAATCGCTGGATGTTCACGTGAATGGTACAACATTGTAAATTTACCTTTTGCGAAAGCTAAGTGGCTGATCAGCAGACATGGAAAAACCCATGCATTGTTTCACGCAGTCAGAATGGGCAAGCCGTTCATTAATCCTGATGTAGTCGAATGTTTATTTGCGCAGGGAGCGCACATCAGTCGATACTTTATCCAAAGATTGGTGCTTGGGTTTGGGGAGTGTGATAGGAGTCTTATTGATCTCAAACAAAAGTATAACATAGGACCGCCCGATCCATTTCCGAACACGTTAATTCAAGACAAAACCTGTAGTTCGTGGGCAAGCAGTCTTCCTGTTGATGTTTATTTCCGGCTTCTCAAAAAGGGTTGTGACCGATTCGGTGAAGAAAACATTTCAGTTCGTGGAAATGACATGGAAAAATTCTATTATCTCTCCGGCGGACCACTAGGAACCAGTCAATCCAGAGTTGAAATTCAAAAAAACATGGATGAAATTAAAGAGCTGATTGGAGAACATAAATTCGTACCATTTCCTCCCAAGCCAGGAATCAGAAATCCATATCTACCCTGTGATATATCTAATGGTTACACCGACGTCCTGAAATGGAATATTATAGCACGGCCTATACAGTTCTGTCTTGAATTGGTTAATCTCTGGAAAGAAAATGGATATCACGAAGTAGTAGCCGAAACAAATGATATCGTCATACGGGGTTCGCTGCTATTTCTTTATCGACAGGAGTATGAAGAGTGGGTACCTGAGTTAAAGCAAGTTGTCGAGAAATTAAGCGACTTGCAGTCGTATGGTTTCAAATTGACCGACAAGCTCGTCGGAGATGCCTTAAGATTATTTGAAAACAGACTAGACTTTGCCAATATAGGCGAAACACTCGTTGAAGCTTTTGCTATTGTTCGTAAACAGCTCAAGGAAGATATTCTTATTATTTGTCTAACGGAGCTGTTGCATCCAAAAAGACATGTTGAACAATATGATTCGCTTGACTTTATAATTAGTCGTGTGAACAAACCTGAAGACAAAATCCTCTATGCATTTGAAAAATATGGGTACTCAACAAACGACGGCGTATACGAATATATGTTAGAAAAATTTGGTGCTCGGTCTCGAGTTGCTATGTATTTGTACGATAAACCCAAGTATACGGTTGAATGATGGCTAAACAAGCACGTGTACGAACAAAGATTGTTGTACAGTATACGTTTGTTATTTATTGTAAATTTGATATGTTAATGTAGTTAATTTGGCTGTTAATGTGGTTTATTACAGTGTATAACAAAGGGGTTTTTGGAGTACTTGAAGTGTTAATAAGTTTTCCAAAATAAAAGCAATACGCATCATATTTTAAACATGTAAACAAGGTGTTCTAAGCAGTAATAGTAAACAAATAAAGTTTTAAATCATGGTTTGTTCTGCTTTGTTGAAAAATTGCTTTGAGACTCGAAGAAAATTTATATTATAAATGAATCACTACCGCAAAGGAAATACATTCATCATCATAATGTCAACTATCTATTATAATCTAAAAAACTGAATAAAAAAGTCAATTCAAGGGAGTTAGCAAGTGGTCGTCCCAAGAAAGTTGCCGCACATGAATCAAGACCAATAGCTCATCAATTGGTCAATGTCGATCCACTATATAACAGATGATTCTTCATTGTTAGTTTCTCGTTGTTAACAAATAAGAAATGACAACCCAATTTAATGAAACAAATGACTGCGGATAGTACAGCATTTTGTTATAATTAGAATATTATGTCAATTCAAGTGATATTCGATAGCCGATAGACTATTGATTAAAGACAGACAAGGTGCACAATGTTGGGTATTTCTCCATCAAACGCAGTTATAATTACTAGAATTTTAACAAATGCTGCTCCGAAAGATATAAGATATCTTAACTATAAAGTTACCTATTACAAATTTTATTATTGGCATTGCAACAGTTTTGTTTGAACAAACAACAACATTTATCTTAGAAAGCGTAATCTTAATCCTGTATTCATTTGATAAACTTACATAGCTCTTATTAATTATTGTTATACACATTAAGCTAAAATAATCATGTGAAAGTCTTCTTAACGAAAAATTTATCTTAAAATAACAAACATATAAATGTACAGCAATCTTTGTTTGTACATGTGCTTTTGTGTTCTGTCATTTTTCAATCTTATACTCAGGTTTATCGTACAAATACCTAGCAATTCGAGACTGAACACCAGATTTTCTTACCATATATTCGTATACGCCGCTGTTTGTTAGTACACATGCGTATAATTTCAAATGCATAGAGTCTTAAGATTTGTTCATACAGTTAATTATAAAGTCAAGCGAAACATGTCGTTCAATATGTCTTTCTGGACGCAACAGCTCCGTTAGACAAATAATAAGAATATCTTCCCTAGGCTTTTCGCGAACAATAGCAAAAGCTTCTATGAGTGTTTCACCTATATCGACATAGTTTAGTCTGTGTTCAAATAATATTAAAGCATCTCCGATAAGCTTGTTGGTCAATTTGAAACCATACGACTGTAAATGGCTTAATTTCTTGACAACTTGCTCTAATCCAGGTAAAGCCCATTCTCCAAATTCATGTGGATAAAGAATTAGCAGCGCACCTCGCATGACAATATCATTTACATCAGTTACTACTTCATGATATCCACTTTCCTTCCAGACACCAATCAATTCAGGGCAGATCAGAATAGGCCGTGCAATAATATTCAATTGCAAGACGTCGGCGTAACCATCGGAGACATCGCAGGTGTATACACGTAGATACGAATTTCTGATTGTTGGCCTAGGAGGAAATGGCGCAAATTTATAAATTCGAATCAACTTTTTAATTTCATCCATGTTTTCTTGAATTTTAACTTTGGCTTGACTGATTTCTAGTGGTCCGCCTGAGAGATAATAAAATTTTTCCATGTCATTTCCACGAGCTGAAATGCTATTTTCACCAAATCGGTCATAACCCTCGTTGAGAAGCTGGGAAAAGACATCGACAGAAAGATTGCTTGCCCACGGGCTAGAAGCTTGATATAGATCGGGCGGTCTCACGTGATACATTAGCTTGAGATTAATAAGTTTCTGATCGTATTTGCCAAATCCGAGCACCAGTCTCTGAATAAAGTATTGGCTAATATGTGCACCTTTCTTAAGTAAAAGTTCAACAACTTCAGGATTGATAAACGAGTCGTTAATTCTTACAGCATGAAATAATGCATGAGTTTTTCCATATCTGCTCAGTAACCATGTGGACCTAACGTCAGAGGAATACACTAGATTATACCAGTCATGAGAGCACCTAGCAAGTGGTAATGGATTTTCCAAATAGGATATAATTGTCACTTTAACTGTAAGATGTAATCTATCCAAACCATCTTGTCGCTGCACTACTAGAATAAAAATATCGATTAGTTGTATTATTTATTATAAGCAGAGTCCAATAAACCATTATTTTTTCGAAGCCTCCTACAATTCTTAAACTAGTTACATGCAAATTGGATAAGTGCTTGTCAATATAATATATATTATTTCTTACTTTTAGTAGTCGTCTGTGTAGTGAAATTGTTGCGAATGAAAGTTTCCATGCGAACAAAATGTTCAAGAACGTCGCATGTTTATAACCGTTCACCTTCATGTTACACTACGTTAATCTGCGCCTATCAAAATTGTGTTCCTTCAAGGGGTCCTTACGCGAATATATCGAGCCATCTTAATTGATCTTATCAATTACTCTAATGTCCAATTTTGTCAGTGGTTTTGCGATCAATGCGTCGACTTGTGTGTTACGTACAGTGCATCACTAGCGAAATCTAGAGTATTTATTTAATAATAATTGTGGGAGCTGATGCTGAAATCAAGGCTGAAGCTGAAACTAACCAATGGGGTTAAAGAATAAAATCTGATCAACCAATCAATGAAAGGTCATGGTTTCAGCTTCAGCCGTGACAATAATTCAGTGTATAAATATCACAAAGAACCGTCTAGCATAAGAATGTTTGTCGAAACGCTTAACAATTATTGTATATATGTACAGTTTAAGTTGGAAATAGCTTTACAAAAAAATTCGCATTTTCTTGGTCATCTCGCAAGAAAAGTTTCAGATTTACACTTCAGTTGTTTCACACGTTCGATCAATTACTTACATCTTACATATATTAATAATTCAATTAAATCTTACATTTACGAGTGTATACATTGTACATAAATATTCTGGTCACAGAAATGTAAGCTAATCGGAAAGCTCTTGTGTTAGCTCAAGCGACAATGTAAATGCATTTGATGGTATAATGAGCATGATTTTAGAATGTTGCAGTCAAATGCCCAAATACGCAATCTTCAGCACTTTCTAAATAAACAAACAGAACACTTACAGTATTGATTTTTGTTGAACGCACACGACAAGTCTTATTACTCTTTGCAAAAGATATTCACGCAATCCAAATTCAATCGTTATAAGATTACATTTTGCCGTTTTGATAGTAAATACATTAAATGTTATAGTTAAAAGCTTCTATTTACGTTCTTGTCGAATTATATGCATTATTATTTTTAATTAGAACTCTTTATTAATATACGTACCCGCTGTGCTACGAAGTAAGATAGCCGTTTGTGTCACGGTCCCCGATGCCCGTATCACACGAACAAAGCTACTCTCTTTTGCATCGACCAGTTGCAACTGATTAATACTATTTAAACTAACTATTACTTAGACGAGAAAATCAATTAGAATTGTTGAGAAGTTAGTAAACCATATGGCGTACCTTATTACTCGTATAAGCATGTTAATAAGCATACACTCTACAAAATAATAAAGATGAAAACCAATGTCCCCGCAAACTTCGGCTGGTGCAGAGAATACCCACTGTGAAAATAAACGCAGTATCCAACAAACTCATAAAGTGGGAATAACAAAGAGAGAAGCGGCACAGACTCTTTTTAATCTTTGTTATCCTAAACATAATATCAACAAAGTTATAAAGCAGGGGAGGCAGAGAGAGAAACAGCACAGATTCTAATCACAATTAATGCAATATGACGTGCGTGGGATTGGCAGAATAGGAAATGCTATTAGTTCACTTGTTATTTGCCTCATTCTTTAGTGATTGTAAACACATTCTATTGGTTCAGCGAAAAAAAAAAAAAGCGCTTTTTAAGGCGATAATTGGAGATTAGCTGATTATACATTCGTATCACAGTGATCACAAAATCATTCGACAATAGAGTCATAATTAAAAAAATTGTACAGAAATGATTGTGACATCAATCTACTGTAGTATTGCCGTTCAGTATGAAACTCTTGACTAGTTTCTCCTCTCCTCTCAGTAATCGCCTCTGTAAAAGTTATCCAACTTGGTTTAATAATCTGAATGTGTCTATCCGATTTGAGGGCATTATAATATTCGAGAAGTTTATCTTTAAGTGCCATCGGTATTTTAAAAAAGAAAACGTTCTTTAATAAAATAATGTATTGTTCTTTTAATGCAGGTTGTGAGAGCTGATGCCGAAACCATGACCTTCATTGGTCGATCAGATTCTATTCTCTAACCCCACTAGTAATTTCAGTTTCAACCGGATCTCGCGAAATAATAAAGCTATTTATAGGGTTACGAAAAAAGTAGGATCCTAAATGAATATCTATTGTTGCACGCGGGCGTTTTAAGGTTCCACAAAAATAAAGGGGTCATCAATTATAATTATTGATTTAGAATATGAACATTATCTTCATTGAAACGTAATATTTTATTGATTGATAAGAGTTATGGCTACGTTTATCCAAACGACAAGTCTATACGATTTTGTCTTTTGTATTCGAGATAGTGTTTAATAAACTTTTTACTGTGATAACAAAGATGACGTTTAGTTAGTGGAAGTAATAATAGTAAGGGAACTAAAAGGTTAACCGATATTCTTGTGCAACACCAAAATTGACCAATCAATTATCTCAGTTATTATGAAGCGAAAAAATTCACATCAAAAACCAAAAAGGCACAATGACGGTACTTCAGAAGAAAGAGATATATGCCTTGCGCTAATGCAGAAACCTCAACCTAAACAGGCATCCTGGCGTTGGGCAAAATACGATTTCCGATATTTTGTGCAACAAAGATAAATGCTCCGATTACACCAATAAACTGGTTATGCCGATAAAAATGGCCGGCACCACTCGTATCGGTATAAAGAGGATTGGCTGTATCTTGCTCAAATTATTGCGAGCAATAATTTCGGACATTTATCCTACACGGTTATCACATAGTTGCTTTTGATACAAAGGTGGCAAGCATTTAAAGATGGCCAACCAGAAAGTAATACACATTCACATGTATAGAGGGATGCATTATAGAGGGGTTGCACGTCATTGATGAATACTTAGCTGGTGTGATGTTTCTACTAACCCGAGTCATAACTCCCAATGACTCATATTTGTCACACAGTTTTTCCTCTAGCGATGGGGGGTGTTCATTGGCCACACAAATGAAAATGCTGCTGTTATTCGAGTGGCTTGTTGGGTGCACAATATACCCTTAATGCTCTTTTTTTTTATTTGTTGATTGTTACACAAAATTGCTGCTGTTATTCGAGTGGCTTGTTGGATACCCTTAATGGTTTTTTTTTTCGTTTTCTTTTTTTTTATTTGTTGATTGTTACACAAGACACTAGTTGCGGTGACGCAAATGTTTCAAGTTCCCCTCATTTTACTTCATGTGATACATAGCACAGCATCAACCCTTTTGCCTTCTGCGCCAGCGCTCTGAATTAAAGCGGTATGTATATGTTTTTTTCCAAGAATGTACATAGCCTTTAGCTACAGTATTTACCCGTATATTGATTATAATGCAAGTGAACTTTTCGATTAGATTATATTTCAAATATGGCACACGATACTTGATGTTCTTAAACCAAAATATCTGTGTATTTGTAAGTAAAAAATTTTTTTTTTCGTAAAGCTATTGAACAATGATATTGTTAAGATTCTCACGGTCATTCTTATGTTAGACTGTTCTTTGTAATATTTGTATATTGTTGATGTGTACAGTCGGAACTTGCCGAGTCGAGGCTGTCAGCTGATAGCAATTATTAGTGTAACATCGCTGAGTTCCTTGTTACTGTGTCATAAATTATTGGTTAGCGCGAATACGAGTAACCAAACAAGTTTGAATAATGGGAATTTTCTGTTTGATAAGAGAAGCGCGTTCTTCTATCCACAGAGCTCGTGATTAATGTAGTGCTACGTATCTCCATAGAGCATGTCTTTTATTTCCGACAAAGACTGTAAGTAAGATAAATACAGTGTATTACGAGAGATACAGTATATGCTAATAATTTTTGGTAAATTCTTTCCACCCTCGAACAATTATTGCGCATGTACATCTTGTCAAATTAGAAGGGTTTTTCCCATTGACAAACAACGTTGTTATATACAAAGCAAAAATAGTTTTTGTGTCATTTTAAAGTTAACAATATCATGTTGCGTTGACAATACGATTCAAAGCTTCTTTGGTCTTACTAATATTTAACTACCTTTGTTGTCACCAGCCCGAATACCCGACTATGGTCGGCCTAGACCGACGATTTATGCTTGTGTAATAATTTGACAATGTAGACTATTTGTAATAACATTCGTTACACAATGTTGTCATTTGCACGTTTACACATTCAACTCATTCAACTAATTCAACTATATTCTGTAATACAATGCCCTGTTGCATAGACTTGCCATTTTTAATGCAAGTACATCTGTTGCATAGACTTGCCCTTTTTAGTGCAAGTACACCTGTTGCATAGATTTGCCCTTTTAGTGCAAGTACACCTGTTGCCTAGACGATATGCAAATTCCCTTCTCACAGCAATGAATGAAATAAATATATTGCTTATAAAGTTCTGTGACCTCATTGGATGTTCGTGCTTTTCGGGTTAGTGCTATCTCCTGATTGTTTTATTTGTAAGATATGGCTTTATTGTCAATTCTACACGTTAATTGCCGAAATGTAACCAGTAGATCGTTTGATGACCATGATCGCTTGTGACACACCTAACCTACAATAACGAAATTTAATGTATTATTCAAACGATCTTGTTTGGTTTTTATTTGTGCTATATAATTGAAATTCAACATTTTGATAGAAGATTACAATCACTAAAATTTTAATGGATGGTGTATTAGTATGTTAAGGGACCGATTTATTTCGTCATTTTATTTTATTCTTCATTCGTTTGACCGACGTTATTTACCTTATTATGGCCTTTAGACAATACGAACTTGCCTTTAATTGGTCCCTGTCCATGTCAAGATAACGACCAATTATCAACGATAGTTCTACCGAATGCAACCGGAAAACACTGAAGCAGTCGCAGTAAAAAGGGACACGCATACTCCTTAGTGATGCTTTCTTTATTTCGTTTATAATGAATATAATAATATAATTGACTTTAAAATATCTTGGTGCATATTTTTATGCAAGAGCGAACCACTCAAATGATTAGCCGATAAGTGTAGTGTACCAAGTGCGCTTAACTCAATTTTCGAGTCAACTCACATCAATGAATATCCTGCATGCATTGTTTCATTAAGAAAATTTCTTGACCGTCAATATTCTTATGGCAAACAAGTTCACTTACTTATCTCTTAGTTTCTCTTGAAGACTGAGAAACAATATTTAGTACAAGCATATCAACGTGTTGTATTAGTAGTAACAACAATAATTGTGAAAATGAATACTATGCTGAGCAAGCTGTAGTTAGTGTAACATAAATTGTCGAGATATGCCGGTAATGAACAATAAACGTATACTATATGCCCTTCCATATGGAAAATACCATCGCCCAACGGCATTTTATACGTTTTATTGTATTTTATACAACTGTTTTGTCACACTGACCTTCTTTCAAAAATTTCCATTTATAACCTGCTAGGAATTTTTATATAAAAGAAGTGCATATTCAGAGAACCAGCTACGCGACGTTCAAGTTCAAATGAGCGAGGAGAATTTTTCCGACTATACTACAGGTATGAGCAACGAGTTGTGTTTTAAATTAGAGCATAAAAACGGTTTTAATCGTTATTTTCTGATATGTGAAGCAGCTTCAAACGCCTCATCAACTGGCCGGCTCCCTCATTCTTCCACTGAGACGAGAACGTTATCTTCAGCCATTTGTTTGAATAAGTTAGCGACAGAACTTAAAGTAGAAATTATTCTTCACTCGAGCAATCCTACAACACTCGCTAGATGCTCACATGAATGGAACAACATCGTAAATTCCCCTTCCACAAAAGCTATGTGGTTGATCGGCAGACATGGAAGAACGCATGCCTTATTTCATGCTGTAAGAATGGGCAATCCTTTTATTAAACCTCAAGTGGTCGAATGTCTATTTGCACAGAAAGCGCAAATCAGTCGATACTTTATCCAACGGTTGGAACTCGGATTTGGCAATAAATCTGTCAATCTTCAAAACAAACCCTGGGCAAGCAATCTTTCCTTTGATGTTTTCTCCCGAATTCACAAGGAACGTGATCGGTTTGACAGAAACGACATTCCTGTCGTCTGTGGAAGTGACATTCCTGTCCGTGAAAACAACATTCTTGTCCGTGGAAATGACATTTCCGTCCGTGGAAATGACAGTCCGCGACGGCTAAATGACTTGGAAACATTTGATGATCTCGCAGGAGGATCACTAGGAATCAGCCAAGCCATAACCAAATTGAAGGAAAATAGAAAGAAAATCAAAACTTTGATTCGCACGCAAAAATTTGCTCCATTTCCTCCCAGACCAAAAATCCGAAAGTATATCCTTGCGAGAGAAGAAGATAGAAAGTTTGAACGCAAGCTTTATTCAGATATAGATTCAGTGCCACGGGCTTGGGACGACTATCCCTCATCCGACGGGTATGAAAACGTCAGACAACAAATTGTCATTGCTCGATC